TGAACAAAGAGAGAGAGAGAGAGAGAGAGAGAGAGAGGGACCCCGTCTACACTGAGAGTGACTGAACTAGAGCATACTTGCAATGTGGTGATGATTATGAACGAGGTGCTCCAGTTCTGTCATGTTGTTGTATCACTCACACAGTGAGCAAGGGGGAGAGAAGGACCATTGTAGCTGGTTCTTTTGTCATTTCTACCACTTGGATGTGCCACAGTCATCTCGAAAGAGGTGAAGTATAGTCCTGCCAGCGAAGCACATACCAAACATTTCATGAGCCCTGCTATTCATCAACTGGAAGTGAACCACCCCAATGCCTTAGGCCAGTGAATGCCTTGAGTCTAATAACCGAGAGCACACCTGCAAGATCATATAAAACAGAACAGACTGAGATAGCTGATATTCATATGCCACAAAGTGCTGACAGGCTTTTGATTTGTAAACCATGTGCAGATATTTTCATCAAAACATATTTTAAAATATAGTGATTTCCATTAAACTTCTGTAAATGGCTATTTATCAGTGTTTACTATTTAAATTTATGGTCTTGATTGTAAGTCACAATGCCTTTGTTATGGTAAACCATGTGTTTAAAATATTTGAGGTCTTTTCCATATCTGAATAAATGATTTCCACTGAAATTGTCAGTGAAATGACATTGGATAACACAAATTGGTTCTTGTTGATACTCCACTAACAGCACTTTGAAATCTCGGTACATCTCAAATGTAACTCTCTCCGGGGGCCTCATTTATAAAATGTGCGTACGCACAGATTTGATCTTAGAGTGTGCCTACGCTAAAATCCACGGCAATGTTCATATTTATAAAAACGGTCTTTGATGTGGAAAAGTACTTACCGTCACGTCAGGGTCTGAGCAGGCGTACGCACGTTTCCTTGAGGCAAAGTCGGAGTACTGCAGCTATTTGAACATCTAAGCTGCAATAAAAATAAAAGCGGTGTACGTGCAAGCACCGAATTCATCATAAACAACAAAGATGCAGTGTAAGAGATTAATTGTGCAGTGTAGTCAGTTTTTGTTATTAACGGGAGTTTTTGCGAGATTAAACTGACCTTTTTAGTAGCCTAATGTTGAGAGTTCTTTACTCGCTTTCTGTACACAATGCCAAATCACATGCAGGTTTTTTTCAGACCGGAGACCATAATCATGTAATGATTTATTTTATTATGATATGAAACGTCCAATTTTTCTCTCAGTAATGTTTTTTAAAGTTTTTCAAGAATGTTGTGATACTAAATGTTTTATTAGTTGTCATGACAAGTGATTTTAAAAGTAGGATGGCTCACTTTTTATAACATGATTGAAAAGTTTACTTGAATTCGTAGTTTATTCTCACTTTTGGAAACCTAATTGTTTTATAATTACTATTATTATTATTTCTGTGAAAAGGTAATGAGGCATGTTTGAATGAATGGCTGAGAAACTCCGCTCCCGACTTCTGTTGTCACTCACTCTCACCTAATGCCTACCGCTATATTGATACACCTGAACAAGCTTTCTAAATACAAACACCTATCTTGAAATTCAAGAAACTAGTCTCACTGACTGTCAGTGTCCTACACACATATACTTTTAATAATATATACTTTATAAATAAATAAAAAAAAAATGTCCCAACCTGCCTAAATATTAAAGATGGTAATAGAAATCAACAAACACCCATTATAGATGCAACTATCCTCTGGAAATACATTTCTGTAAGTCTCCAATCATCAGTTGATTAATAAAGCATATTTTAAAATGTCTGAATGTCTGTCTTAATGAAAGACCAACTCTCAGAATCTCAGTGAAATGTGTATTATCATCCAGTGCACTACAGAGCTGTTTAAATACACAGAAAAATCACTAGTTTATACGCAAAAAACATATATGTATAGTAAACATGATTGTACAACAAACATGAAGTTATGTTTTTTTTTTTATGTAGGCTATGCATACATTAGGAACATCTCACACACACAATGCATGCATGACCTCAACTGAAAGAATTCTGTGTGATTTTTCTCAGCTGACTAATGCTATCAATGCTATACATAATCATCTTGAAGAGCAGTCCAGATAAGTCCAGTCCAGTTTTTGGTTGTTTACCCCCTAAGACATCAACGTAAAGTCATAGCTTCATAAGTGTTTTTTTTTTTTCTGTAGGAATGGACTAGATGTCACCGATACAGTAAAAAATGCTTTGTGTCCTAATGGAAACCTGTACATGACATTTCAGAAGTTGCACCAAAATCTGTTCACATGGTTCAGTGACAGGCACTTGGGAATAGTTCTGATTGTTGTTCTTTGCTTTTCACGTTAAATTAGCACACTGGCTTTGCTTCAATTAAGATGATCTCACCAATTTAATGCCCAACTACGATTCCCATTTCAACGGTCAAACTAGTGCAATAGCCTATTAAAGTCCCTGATTACTGTAATTTAAAAAATCCCAACCTCTCCTGCCACTGGTGATTGTTCATTAGAAGATTTTAATTAGAAAACCAGAGGCAAAATGCTATATAGTCACAAGGTGAACAAAAACCTGAGTACCTGCTTTCACATACAGTATTTTAAATCCCAATAAGAACCACAACACCAGTCCTGAGACAGAGAAATTCCAAACGGAGTATGACCAGCTAATGCTTCTGTGAAAAAAGGGTCTTAAACTCAAACCCAAATCTATATCCTATAGCTGTGGTATTTACAGAAGAGCTGGAGAAGCTCTAATAGTTCCCTTGTCCCTTCAAGCAGTGAAGTACATCTCTTTGGTGAGCATCGAGACAATGCAGGGGATTTGTTTCTTCGCGTCAAAGCCAGGCTGGTTGGAGGTTGACTCAAAGTCGAGTGCCACTTTATGGTTGACCCTGGTCATGATCTGCATGAGCTCTAGTGCTTTGCCATACTTTGCCATCATTTCACAAAGGGACTGAATGAACCAAGAACCGGTCATGGTGTTTCTCCAGGAGTAGTAACCTGACAGAGGAAAGAAACCCCATTAAGAAAAAAGACTTGACATGTAAAGTATTAAAATGATCTTCATTAGGATTTTCTCAGTAAATACTCATATATTTGACAATCTTAATTGATTAATTAAACAGCATATCATGCAATTAATTTTATTAAAATAAAAAGAAATACTGTATAAATGAGGCCCCTGGAGATTAACGCTTGTATATAGGTTATCTATTTATATTTGTACATCTTTATTGTATTGTGGTTCATGTAAATTGTGCAAACAGTTATTTGTAGCATGTGGTTGTTGAAGAGAGAAATAAACTGATGGCATTCTCTTAACAGTGTTTGGGTTCCCGTTCATTAACGTTGGTAATGATTCCAGTGCCTGTATTTAAAAAAATATGAGCATTGCATAATGCAACTGCAGTAGTTCTGGTTTATATTTCACAGAAATGCCTATACAGTGGGAATGACAGAATGAGTATATATAATATTACATACAGTGCAAGTGTAGTCAGATTACAGAATGAATGTCTCTTGGGAGTCTTTTCAGTGAATCAAAAACATTCGGCTTACAATTTACTGTATATTGTTCTTAAGTTCTTAATGTAGTTACTTAGGGGTGTGCGATACTGACAAAAAAATAATATCTCAATATTTTCTGGGTTTTTATCGATAACGAGCGTGTTATTGTGCTGGTATCTTAAGGACTACCGTGGACAGCTGACTCCTGAAGTTTTTGATATTCTTCATATTCTGTGTGGTTGTCAGTTCACACTGAGAGAAATGAATCTTTTCCAATAAGTTTAAACTGATTTTTACATTATACGGGCACTTTTACCTTTATAAAGCCATTTTTTCTAAAAGTGTCCATTATCTTTTGAGTCAAATTCTTACATTTAATCAGGGAATTAGAATAATAAGACATTTGGGCAAGTTCAACAGAACAGCTTTTATTTGAAAAAGAAAAGTTTTAGAACATTATAATTGTCTTTACTATTGCTTTTGATGAATTTAATGTGTCCTTGCTGAATAAAAGCATTAACTGCTTTTAAAAAAATCGTACCGACTTCAAACTTTTTGTGAATATTTTATCTGATACTCACAGGAAGTGTTTGTGTGGTTTGCGTGTGTCTGTACCTGGTGCCGTAGAGTACGCATAGAGGAAGTCTGCCTCCACAGGAATCCTCATAGAATTATCGGAGCCGTCAGCCTCCACACCAGGATCCAGTTCTGTACCTCTACAAGCCTAAATAAACATAACCAGCGTAAATCTCAAGAGTGGAAACAAGCACACCAAGCCAGCTCATTATAAACATCAACCCAGAAAAAACCTCACTCATTTTAATGCACACACATAAGAGGACAGCAGAAATTCTGGACATACCTGTATGAAGAAAAGTTTAGGCTTTCCCACTAGTGATGGGCAGCGGTCTCCTCTGAAAAGGCTAGTTAAGGTCTTGAGCTCCACATAAGTATCAGTGCCGTAAAACATTCCCTCATCTCCATGACTGAGCATTACACACACTAACGAAGCACAGCGGCTGTGGTCGTCATGGGCCACTGTGATAGAACAACAAACAGCCATGTATACTTACAATTGATAAAAAAAAACTAAAAAAGTATAATTATCAACTACCATAACACCTGGGTACAGGCAACTGATTCAGTGTAATTTGGTAATATTTCATTTATAAAAACAACAGGCCTATTTTAATTATTAACAGGCCTAGTTTAATTGTAATAATTACTTACCATGGTCTGTCTGAATTCTGATTGGCTGGCAGGTATGCATTAAAACGTGTAATGCACAAACCCACACAGACAGACAGACAGACACAGAGAGAGAGAGAGAGAGAGAGAGAAAGAGAGAGAGAGAGAGAGAGAGAGAGAGAGAGAGAGAGAGAGATATTAAGCATCATCAGTGTAAACACTCTCAATATTCATATCTGCTGATGTGTGACCTATATGTACATTTCTCAAAAACTGTGCAACCTCAGAATCGAAATGATATGCGGTTCCTGGTAAGTGGTATGTGCCTGTCAGGACAGCATCTCCCACTCTGCGTTTAACCGGTTGAGTTCAGGGGAACTCGCATGAGGTCAGTGTGTGTGTGTGTGTGTGTGTGTGTGTGTGTGTTATCAGAGCAAGAACTTACTAAAGTGAGAATATTTCACACAAATGACTGTCTAATCATACTATATTACAAGGACATGTGATTTTGAGATCCTGAAACGAAACATTGGAATACATTTGAAAGTTCTGCTTTTGCTGTATAAATCTGGATTAGTCACTTTGTTTTTCTTTTTTTTCTTTTTTTAGTACATACATATGTTAACGTCTACTTTAACAGTTTAAAAAGGACTGTTAAAACATTGAAAAATAAAATTAAAAACACATTTTTTAGTAAAAGTTCATCATGTAATGTTTTATAATATTAGCCTACAAGCTTTTGTTTGCATATCGCTCGTGAATAAGACGTGTAGGCCTACGGAAGTGTGTTAAGTACAAATGTAACCTACAATATTTCTTTTCGTTATTAAAGTTATTATTAGTTTTGTGATTACTCGCGGTTGTTATTTGTAGTATTAGCATATGTTAACATATTTAATAAACAATTGCAATACTCGTGTGCGTACTTCAACTTATTTTTATTTTATTTCTTATTTCTTGAAACAATAACCAGATTTCTGTATTTATACACTACACTTCAACGGCTCAAGCTGGAAGTGAATTAGAAAATAGAGACAATCATCACAAATAGGTAGTTTAGACATCACTGAACAAAAGCAGCACAAAAGCTGACTACACTGACCATCTGAGATCTAAGGATTCGTGTTATTAGAATTCACTCCATGAAGACTGACAGAGGAGAGGATTTATTCAGCACAGCCTCCTTCAAACTAACAGCCTTATAATCATGCAATCTGATGAAATCCAATTGTTAAAAACAACTGGGCTGTTTTATAATAACTAAAACACACTGTGCCATTTTTGGTAGATCTGTTCTCAAAGAGCTGCGATTTAAAGTTGATCATTCTTCTGCAGAAGTTGACAATAAACGACAAGACGAAAGAAGTGAAACTGCAATACAAACAGGCTTAATGTCAGGGAAAAACACGTCGGATCATTTCTTTTTCTTTTTTTTTCTACTATGCACGAAAGCAGATCTTATTATGTTTCAACGGCGTCCTCTTGTGGTGATATTATTATAAGAAAAGCTCAACGACTGGTCCTTTAAAATATTTCCCACCACATTTACGCACGATTGTTTTTACATTTGTATAAAACAAAGATCATAAAGTGTTATAAATAGTTAGCATATACAAAATAAATTACAAAGAACAAACACAACATAAAATATAAAGCTACCGCTTAAAAATATATATATTTTTGAAGGATGGATACCTGAATAAATAAACAAATAGTCTCAATGTAATTTTAAACTTCTATTAAGCGCCTAACAACGTGTGAATTTGAACACGACTGCACTGCAGCATGCGCCATTCTAATGCAACTCTAAACTGCTCTCTCTATATCTGCATTTGAGTGCCTTAATCTGCTTATGGAGATGTGTAGAACAGCGGGGAATCTCTAACATCCCAGAGCGGCTCCTGCTTGGGCTAAATTGTTAATTGTCGCAGTTCTAAATAATAGTTAGCAGCTTGTGAAAAAAACAGTTTCTTAATATTAAACTAAAATAAAAAAAAATTGAATGATATCACTTGACTGGTCTTGACGACTGGTGTTTTAGAAATAAAGAATTGCCTGACAGATGAAAATCAACAACATAAATAAATACAAAATAATTGAAGATAAAAAGAAAACATAAGTAAAACAAACAAACATATAAATAAAATTAAGCGTAACATTTCCTATGAGAACCATTAGGCTATTTGATCGTTTTTCACATTTCTCCCAATAATACACATCTAAGCCAAAACATATGATCTACACGAATAAACGAAAATAACTACCAGGACTAACTACACGTTCGTCAATGTTTTCATGTTTGCGTTCAATATCTCACAACAAATCCAGTGCATGCTAACAAATATAGGCCTACACAGAAACGAACACAACAATTACATAAAACATTCTTTGAAAGTGAGAGTTAGAATTGTTCAAGCATTAAGTCCTAAAATTAGGAGATAGAAATTAGTAGGCATAAGAGGGGGAAAGCGAGAGAGAAAGAGAGAGAGAGAGAGAGAGAGAGAGAGAGAGAGAGAGGTTTCTTTCTACAGATGTGAACAAGTTAAATGTAAGACTTTTTTAATGAGGTTGGAGATCGCAGATTGTGTGGCGCACACACTTAAACTTGTCAACGTTGCCCCACGACTTTTATTAATTAAATAGCCTTAATACTAGATCGCTACATTATATTCATTTACATTTACAAGACACTTTTATCCAAAGCGACTTACAAATGAGGACAATAAAAGCAGTCAAAACAGAAGAGCAACAATATACACACACACACAAAGAAAAACAAGTAGATAGAATAGAACAAATAGAAAGCTAGTGTTTTTTTTTTTATAAAAAAAGAAGATAAATATAGATAAAGTAGAATTAAAATAGAATAGAAAGTGCTAGAGTTAGGGGGTCAAATAAAGGTGGAATAGATGTGAAAAGCGCCCAAATAAATATGTATTTATTTAAATAAATAAATAAATAATAAGCATCTCTGTTTATGGGCACTGTTGGCTCACTTCTCAGTGAGCTGCGTTGGATGATATCATTTATGATGAAATTATCAAATAATTTACTCTATTTACCAACGCGTCATGGCAACAAATAAGCGGTGACTAAGTAGGGGTTTTTCTTTTTGGTAAACTCACCGATTCTGCCTACAAACCGAGACAGATGGCATGTAAAGCTGTTGCCCACCGGTAAGTGAGATTTTATTTGTTTACAACGTTATATTTCTTAGCTAATCAACCCAAGGGCGAAATTGAACATTACAAACAAACAAACAAACAAACAAACAAACAAAGCGCTTGCTGAGTCTCGTTATCGCGTCAATTCAAAGAAATGATTGAAAGCACATCTTGTTTAAACACGTTCACAAATCCAAGCGTTGGCATTACAGTTTTTAATTGCTTGTGACTCGACAGATTCAAAGACTTGAGTAACAGTAATAGGTTTAACGGCAATTTCAGAGTATCCTATAACACAAAGACTAAATGAGAGCTACAAGGATGGAAAAACCTGAAATACATACGAAAATCCCTATAAGAATGCCCAGAACTACAAGCAACCAAGATTTACAGTCGTGAGCAACACGATCGGCTAACAGAAGTTGAACACTAACGCCATTACATGAATGAAATAATTCAAACTTTGTAGACAGTGACCTCATGTGGTAACTTTGTGTAAAACACAACATGTAACAGAGACAGGGAGCTATTGTAAATTCTGGGAGGAAATACAAAGTTAGCGAGCAACTACTGGTAGCCAGTGCAAATTGATGAACAGAGGTGTGGACGCGTTCTTTTTCATATTCCTCAGCAACGAGGTGGTAAAATCGCTGTTTTTGAAGTAACTAAACACAGCTTTATTGTTTGTAGAGACACGCAGACGCAGATAACGCACACACAACTGTCGTCTCTCTCTCTCAATAGATCGATCGATAATTAATTAAATGCTATATAAAATTAAATGCTATAATTCATTCAAATAAATGTGATCTTACTGCACTATTTCATCTCCAGGTCTGATTTGAAGCGGGCAGAATGCTAGAGCTAACGAAATATAACTGACAAAATAACCGTCATTTGTACCTTTCCGGCCAAATATTTTGCTGAAAATATCATTAACAGCTTTAACTTGTCAATGCTAGATAATGACCATGGTATAAGTGGGATAATGCACGGTCTTGGCCTCCACGTCGTGAATTAAAATTGTTTAATGCACAGCTAGCCGTGCATCATCTCTTACTTAATGGCCATATCTCAACAACAGGCATTCTTGGGATTTTAAGATTCATCTACTGATACTGAGGCAAAGAGCTAAGAGACAGAACATAGGAATTTATTTGAATGCACCATACCTGCTGTTAAAACCTGCATAATCTGTGCAACTGTCTGATCATTGTAGACTTTCACAGTGTATCCTAGCTTCCGAAACATATTCATTACATTTCCTGCATCTACATCAGTACCGTTCCGTTGGTTCATGCCTGAAAGAAGTGAAGAACAGGTTACTATATTACATATGACTACGACAAAAAAAGCACATAAAAAGGTTTACATGACAAATATGCACAATACTGCATAATATTTTCATAACATATTGATTATTGATAATAGTTAGATATATAAATAGCATTTATTAATATTTATTTTATTCTCTCATGCTATAAAGTACTATTGGATTCAATCGTCAATATTTAATACTGGCCATTTAACAATTATAGGCCATGATCAAAACAACAATCACCTTCATCTGTATCAGCAAGAATTTTGATATTGGTACATCCCTGCCTAGAGTCCATTCTGTTTACCATTCGGTTCATAAGGTAAATGCATCTAAACAATCATCTGAGTTTGATGAGCATTCGAACTGACAACTTTCACAAAACAACACCTTCAACAGCAAAAAACAAGCGTTACCTGTCCTGCGATCAAAGTTCTTGTTATTGATGATGATGCAGTGGCCAATGCTGGGGTAGTTCAGACTGTATCTGAAGGCATGCGACTGAGCCTTAGCATCAACCTGCATGGGCTGCGCTCCTGATGCCCCATCCTTACCAGCACTGGACAAACAGATTACATGCAGGAATATTAACCCTTTGACGCACAAGCTATGAAACCCCCTTCTAATACACAACATGGGTCTAAAATGACCCGTATTCATTTCCTATGTTATTTGAAATCAGCTTATTTCAGCATTTAATATTCCGACCTATAAATTCCATGATCCATGAATATGCAAAATATATTTTTTACAATGACCATTGACCACAAATTAATATTTGATTGTTTTCCTAGGTTTTTCTTACATCAAGTTTACACACATGGGTCAAAAATGACCCATCTATGCAAGCATGATAAAACAAAAGAATAAAGACATTTTGTTAAAATACTAATTTTATCAGTTATTTAGACCAACACATTTAACACTTGAAATATGTTTATTTGCCACTTTTTCACACATAACATACACATATCACTGATAAACGATAACACTGAAATTGAACTGTCTGTAGAGCAACTGTAGTGAATGTGACCGAATAGATGAAAATAAAACTAACAAAATAAACATAATCACACAGGTACAGCGCTATCTCAAATTGTTATCTCAGTGCTTATATGCCTCACAAATGACAACTAAAGGTTTGTGCACTTTGCACACAGGCCTGACACTGAACACCAGATCCTGCACCTCTTCCTCTTCTATTGACCCTCCTGCCTGATGTATACCTGTGTCCGGGTGGTGACTGTGTTTTGTTTTTATCCCACATCTTTCCATTGCCTCTGTAACATGGTTTTGAAGGTGGGGCCTGCCCTCCAAACACCTCTTCATATGTGGCATGACAAGCTCTTTGACCAGCTCCTTGATGAATAGACATCATGCATTGGTCACACCACCCATGTAATCAGGGTGTTGTGCAGTGAAGGTGTAGGCCAGGGGTGGAAAACGTCTGTCCTGGAGAGCCACAGCCTGCAGAGTTTTGCTCCAGCCTTGATAAAATCTCACCTGCCTTTAGCTGTCTAGTAACCCTTAGACATTGTTTAGCTTGTTCAGGTTTGTTTGATTAGGGTTGGAGCTGAACTCTTCAGGACTGTGGCTCTCCAGGATCGCCTCTGGTGTAGGCATTGAGGGTGGTAACATCCAGCACATTGTACCACAGCACCATAGGCCACCTCCATGTTCTCTGCTTACATGAGTAGATGCAAACCATTTTTGCTCAGTCTATTGGACTGGGTCTGAGTTTCCACTTATGGCGCTTTTCCACTGCGTGGTACGACTCGGCTCGGTACGGCTCAGTACGGCACGGCATGGTTAAATATAAAGCTACCGCTTAAAAATATATATATTTTTGAAGGATGGATACCTGAATAAATAAACAAATAGTCTCAATGTAATTTTAAACTTCTATTAAGCGCCTAACAACGTGTGAATTTGAACACGACTGCACTGCAGCATGCGCCATTCTAATGCAACTCTAAACTGCTCTCTCTATATCTGCATTTGAGTGCCTTAATCTGCTTATGGAGATGTGTAGAACAGCGGGGAATCTCTAACATCCCAGAGCGGCTCCTGCTTGGGCTAAATTGTTAATTGTCGCAGTTCTAAATAATAGTTAGCAGCTTGTGAAAAAAACAGTTTCTTAATATTAAACTAAAATAAAAAAAAATTGAATGATATCACTTGACTGGTCTTGACGACTGGTGTTTTAGAAATAAAGAATTGCCTGACAGATGAAAATCAACAACATAAATAAATACAAAATAATTGAAGATAAAAAGAAAACATAAGTAAAACAAACAAACATATAAATAAAATTAAGCGTAACATTTCCTATGAGAACCATTAGGCTATTTGATCGTTTTTCACATTTCTCCCAATAATACACATCTAAGCCAAAACATATGATCTACACGAATAAACGAAAATAACTACCAGGACTAACTACACGTTCGTCAATGTTTTCATGTTTGCGTTCAATATCTCACAACAAATCCAGTGCATGCTAACAAATATAGGCCTACACAGAAACGAACACAACAATTACATAAAACATTCTTTGAAAGTGAGAGTTAGAATTGTTCAAGCATTAAGTCCTAAAATTAGGAGATAGAAATTAGTAGGCATAAGAGGGGGAAAGCGAGAGAGAAAGAGAGAGAGAGAGAGAGAGAGAGAGAGAGAGAGAGAGGTTTCTTTCTACAGATGTGAACAAGTTAAATGTAAGACTTTTTTAATGAGGTTGGAGATCGCAGATTGTGTGGCGCACACACTTAAACTTGTCAACGTTGCCCCACGACTTTTATTAATTAAATAGCCTTAATACTAGATCGCTACATTATATTCATTTACATTTACAAGACACTTTTATCCAAAGCGACTTACAAATGAGGACAATAAAAGCAGTCAAAACAGAAGAGCAACAATATACACACACACACAAAGAAAAACAAGTAGATAGAATAGAACAAATAGAAAGCTAGTGTTTTTTTTTTTATAAAAAAAGAAGATAAATAGATAAAGTAGAATTAAAATAGAATAGAAAGTGCTAGAGTTAGAGGGTCAAATAAAGATGAACAGATGTGTTTTTAGTCATTTCTTGAAGATGGCTAAGGACTCAGCTGCTCGGATTGAGTTGGGCAGGTCATTCCACCAGGAGGGAAGTTAATCAAAAAGTCCGTGAAAGTGATTTTGTGCCTCTTTGAGATGGCACAATAATGCGTCAATCACTTGCAGAACGCAAGCTTCTAGAGGGCACATAACTCTGAAGTAATGAATTTAGGTAAATGGGTGCAGAGCCAGTGGTGGTTTTGAAGGCAAACATTAATACCTTGAATTTAATGCGAGCAACTACTGGTAGCCAGTGCAAATTGATGAACAGAGGTGTGGACGCGTTCTTTTTCATATTCCTCAGCAACGAGGTGGTAAAATCGCTGTTTTTGAAGTAACTAAACACAGCTTTATTGTTTGTAGAGACACGCAGACGCAGATAACGCACACACAACTGTCGTCTCTCTCTCTCAATAGATCGATCGATAATTAATTAAATGCTATATAAAATTAAATGCTATAATTCATTCAAATAAATGTGATCTTACTGCACTATTTCATCTCCAGGTCTGATTTGAAGCGGGCAGAATGCTAGAGCTAACGAAATATAACTGACAAAATAACCGTCATTTGTACCTTTCCGGCCAAATATTTTGCTGAAAATATCATTAACAGCTTTAACTTGTCAATGCTAGATAATGACCATGGTATAAGTGGGATAATGCACGGTCTTGGCCTCCACGTCGTGAATTAAAATTGTTTAATGCACAGCTAGCCGTGCATCATCTCTTACTTAATGGCCATATCTCAACAACAGGCATTCTTGGGATTTTAAGATTCATCTACTGATACTGAGGCAAAGAGCTAAGAGACAGAACATAGGAATTTATTTGAATGCACCATACCTGCTGTTAAAACCTGCATAATCTGTGCAACTGTCTGATCATTGTAGACTTTCACAGTGTATCCTAGCTTCCGAAACATATTCATTACATTTCCTGCATCTACATCAGTACCGTTCCGTTGGTTCATGCCTGAAAGAAGTGAAGAACAGGTTACTATATTACATATGACTACGACAAAAAAAGCACATAAAAAGGTTTACATGACAAATATGCACAATACTGCATAATATTTTCATAACATATTGATTATTGATAATAGTTAGATATATAAATAGCATTTATTAATATTTATTTTATTCTCTCATGCTATAAAGTACTATTGGATTCAATCGTCAATATTTAATACTGGCCATTTAACAATTATAGGCCATGATCAAAACAACAATCACCTTCATCTGTATCAGCAAGAATTTTGATATTGGTACATCCCTGCCTAGAGTCCATTCTGTTTACCATTCGGTTCATAAGGTAAATGCATCTAAACAATCATCTGAGTTTGATGAGCATTCGAACTGACAACTTTCACAAAACAACACCTTCAACAGCAAAAAACAAGCGTTACCTGTCCTGCGATCAAAGTTCTTGTTATTGATGATGATGCAGTGGCCAATGCTGGGGTAGTTCAGACTGTATCTGAAGGCATGCGACTGAGCCTTAGCATCAACCTGCATGGGCTGCGCTCCTGATGCCCCATCCTTACCAGCACTGGACAAACAGATTACATGCAGGAATATTAACCCTTTGACGCACAAGCTATGAAACCCCCTTCTAATACACAACATGGGTCTAAAATGACCCGTATTCATTTCCTATGTTATTTGAAATCAGCTTATTTCAGCATTTAATATTCCGACCTATAAATTCCATGATCCATGAATATGCAAAATATATTTTTTACAATGACCATTGACCACAAATTAATATTTGATTGTTTTCCTAGGTTTTTCTTACATCAAGTTTACACACATGGGTCAAAAATGACCCATCTATGCAAGCATGATAAAACAAAAGAATAAAGACATTTTGTTAAAATACTAATTTTATCAGTTATTTAGACCAACACATTTAACACTTGAAATATGTTTATTTGCCACTTTTTCACACATAACATACACATATCACTGATAAACGATAACACTGAAATTGAACTGTCTGTAGAGCAACTGTAGTGAATGTGACCGAATAGATGAAAATAAAACTAACAAAATAAACATAATCACACAGGTACAGCGCTATCTCAAATTGTTATCTCAGTGCTTATATGCCTCACAAATGACAACTAAAGGTTTGTGCACTTTGCACACAGGCCTGACACTGAACACCAGATCCTGCACCTCTTCCTCTTCTATTGACCCTCCTGCCTGATGTATACCTGTGTCCGGGTGGTGACTGTGTTTTGTTTTTATCCCACATCTTTCCATTGCCTCTGTAACATGGTTTTGAAGGTGGGGCCTGCCCTCCAAACACCTCTTCATATGTGGCATGACAAGCTCTTTGACCAGCTCCTTGATGAATAGACATCATGCATTGGTCACACCACCCATGTAATCAGGGTGTTGTGCAGTGAAGGTGTAGGCCAGGGGTGGAAAACGTCTGTCCTGGAGAGCCACAGCCTGCAGAGTTTTGCTCCAGCCTTGATAAAATCTCACCTGCCTTTAGCTGTCTAGTAACCCTTAGACCTTGATTAGCATGTTCCTGTTTTTTTGATTAAGGGTTAAACTCTATTTCCTTTATAAACAAACAGTTTTTGTATTTCTACATCGGTTTTACACACATGGATCTAAAATGACCTGTATTATTTTCCCATGTTAATTTCCAATCATGCCTGAGTGATTCTTTGCTGAATCTTTGAAAGCAATGCATTTTATCATTTATTATACCAGGTATTCATTAAAGGGGTCATATGATGCTTTTTTAAAGATCATTATTTTGTGTATTTGGTGTAACAGAATATGTTGACATGCTTTAATGTTCAAAAAACACATTATTTTTCAAATACTGTACATTATTGTAGGTCCTCTATGCCCCACCTCTCTCAAACGCTTCGTTTTCTACAAAGTCCCTCCTTCCGACAAGCGCAGTCTGCTCTGATTGGCCAGCTGACCCAGTGCATTGTGATTGGAACTTGAAATCGCATCATATGACCCCTTTAAAATATCTTGTATTTGATTTCCATAAATCATTGTTTATTTGTCCTTTCTTTACTTTATAAAAAAAACACAGTTTTTGTATTTCAACATCAATTTTACAAATGAGTCAAAAATGACCCATATAGAAACCTATAAAGTAAAGAAAGGACAAACTGTGTTTGTTTATAAAGTAAGGAAAAATAAACAAAATGATTTGTGGAAGTCAAAAACAACATATAATGGAACACATAAACACATATCTGGAATAATAAATGATAGAAAAACATTTATTTCAGAGAGTCAGCAAAGAAACAATCATCCATAACTGAAATAACATATGAAATGAATATGGGTCATTTTAGACCCATGTTGTGCATTAAAGGGGTAGTGATATAAAAACGATTTTTATTCAAAAAGTAATAAAAAATAAAAATAAGGATTTGTGATGATCAAAAAACAAGTTAATTGAGGAATTCCTGGAATTCTGAATGATAAAATAAATTTATTGCAAAGATATAGAAAAAATAAACTCAGTCGGGTCACTTTAGACCCATATTGTGCATCAAAGGGTTAAACACTATTTAATATGAGAGATTAATATAAGAGGTAGACCGATTTGTGTGGGCCTGTTCTTTCCTTTCATTAATATTTTATTAATTTTGGACTGTAATGTTTATGGAAGTTTATGGACTAAATATAATGTGACCCTGGACCACAAAACCAGTCTTAAAATGCACGGGTATATTTGTAGAAATAGCCAACAATAAATTATGGGTCAAAATGATCGATTTTTATTTTATGCCAAAAATCATTAGGATATTAAGTAAAGATCATGTTCTATGAAGATATTTAGTAAAGTTCCTACCGAAAATATATCAAAACTTAATTTTTTATTAGTAATATGCATTGCTAAGGACTTAATTTGGACAACTTGAAAGGCAATTTTCTCAATATTTTGATTTTTTTGCACTCTCAGATTCCACATTCAAATAGTTGTCTCTTGGCCAAATATTGTATCCTATCCTAACAAACCATACATCAATGGAAAGCTTATTTATTCAGCTTTCAGATGATGTATAATTAAAAAAAAATGGACCCTTATGACTGGTTTTGTGGTTCAGGGCCACACATGTTAATACAAGTAAAAAACGTTATATTCACGTTATTAGGCCTAAATGCTATAAACAAGCAGGAACAAGTCAGTTTACATATGTAAACAACATGGTAACAAAAAGAAAAGCAAGTGTTAGTGAATTCAATACTGTTTTTGTTTTGAACTGTCAATCACTTCCGAAAGCTGCATAGCAACAGTCGTCAAGATCATCTTACTCTGTTGTGTCCTGGCGCCGCGCGTCCACGCAGTCTCCGTTCATCTTCAAGCGTTTAACGATCACTCTTTTTAAGAAAATAAAATCGTCTCTGTTGGGAGCTGTTCGAAGTGTATCTGGTGACGTATAGCGCGTTATAACGGGCTCTCGGCAGAATGATCACCGCGCCCGCATGCCAGATGGGTGGTTGTATTGTTGTTGTCGACTCGCTCGACCAGCCAATGAGAAGCTGCACGGGAGGAGAAAAACACACAACACATTTCGACGTCACAACCACCCTTTAACAGCTGTGAAAAAAAACCCCAACAAAAAAAAGACTTGGGTATAGTGTACTTTATAAATGCAGCGTCTGCAATATATCAATGAGCAAAGTGAAAACTAGCAAGATAATTCACATAATGGCTGTGTGCCAAAACCTCCGAGTTGTCTTTCTAGATAGTGTGTTCCAAACAAGCGAGTTCACACAGCGCTCAACAACGCGCTCTTCTCGAGGTGTGGACTCTGGAGGTTTTAAGACAGCCGTTGTAAGGAAGGTCAAGTTTCACGTGCCCTGCTAATGCAGGATGAACATAATAACCCATTTGAGAACTCTTGAATGTCTATAAAAGTAATTACTCCAGTGCACAAGTGAATCAAAGTGTTTATTGCAATACAGCGTGTCTATTTATCTGTAAAAAATATTAAAGCTATGCATCCGTATGCATGGCGTTTCTTTGTCTGCTTATGAATGTTCAAACGGACAACAAGTGAAGACTGACAAAACACAACACTTAAAACCTAAATGTTTGAAAACAACAAAGTGGATGCTTACCAGATACGTGAAAATATCCTGTTATTGGAAGCTTGCAACGTACAAGATTCCGACGACAAAGCGATTACTCAAGCATCCAGGAAGTGTGCTCAGGCTACACCTCTATCTCACTGTTAGAGTGTACTCACTGTTGCCAACTCTCGCGAGACAAATAAGCAACCGCAGCTTCAAAAACAAGCCCACTATTTTTTGATGTTATTACCATTAAACATAAGTTATTTTACAAAAATCAGCAAACTGCAACAAAGCAGGAACAAAACTCATCTCCAATCACCTGTGAGCAGAATAGGATTGGACAGATGGAAAAGGAGAATAACACAAGAGCTTCAAAGGGGAGCTGTAACATAGCCACATATGTAGCCTACTAAAATATTGGCTATTCGAACCAAATCTACTCTTAGTATTAGTATAGGCCTACTTGTTTTTTGTTTGTTTGTTTTTTTTACAGCCCGTATAATTAATACATTACAAAAACATTGTAAAAATAAAAAATTAGGCTACTTTATGAAGGAAAAAAGTCATCCCACTCCTCTACGTATACTACTATCATCGCTTGGATTACAACGTCACGCGCCTTCTTATTGAACGTGATTTTTCTCCAATCCCTCATTGAAGAAAAATCACGTTCAAAAACAAGGCGCGTGCGGAGGAGGCAGAATATTTGAGAAATTAGGCTACAACACTTATATTTTTTGCACTGATTGGCTATTAACTGTGAGCAGACAGAGTGTTAATCAATGCATTGGAGAATACAGTGAACATAAATGAAAAGAAACGAAGTTCCTTGTCAGGTTTTCCTAACAAGCAACCATATTTTTTAAAATAGGATTTTTTCACGCAACTTTACAAAAAAAGAAGCCCAAAGTCGCGTATAATACGCGGATTTGGCAACTCTGCTCTATCTTTTTTTGTTGCAACTGCAGTACTTCTTCTTCTTCTTCTTTTTTCTTGGCTTTTGCAACTTGTAATTATTGCATATCGCCATCTACTGTACAGGAGTGTGTAAAGGGACTTGGCAGATACTTTACTCGGGGTTATACTTAAAAAAACAAAAAACCCACAAAGGGGTTTCCTGCCATTTCCCATAATTTCTGCCTGTATTCATGGTATTTATTGCATCTAAACAAGACATGTTCTACATCTTCCTTGGTTTGACATCTTGTACATAATCCATTACTCTTCCCTGTTGTCTGCAATGTATCATTCAATCCAGTATGACTTAATCTCAGTCTTGAGTATACTACTTCTTTTCGCCTGTTTGCCATATTTATCCTTTTTCCTCCTACTTTTGCTTGGTTTATATGATAATGTTTAACTACAGTACTTCGAAGCCTTTGCCCTTGTCTATTGCGCTACAATATCGCCCTCTGCTGGATAGATGGCTTCTTACACATGAACAGGAGCATTTGAGGTAAGAGCTTACTCAGTTACCGACCCAGGCCTTTATCAATTATTTATCAGTTATAAACCATTTTACATGTTTTCATTTAAATAAATAAAATAAAATGTGGCTCTGGAAACACGTGCATATTCTGATGATGCCTTGCCTCTTTTCGTTGTCATTTTAGAAATGTGACCCTGGACCACAAAAATAAATGTTTTAAAATTGAGATTTATACATAATCTGAAAGCTAAATAAATAAACTTTCCATTGATGTATTGTTAGGATGTAACAATATTTGGCTGAGATACAACTATTTGAATATCTGTCAAAATATTGAGAAAATCGCCTTTAAGTTCTTAGCAATGCATATTACTAATCAAAAATAAGGTTTTAATATATTTGCGGTAGGAAATTTACAAAATATCTTCATGGAACATGATCTTTACTTAATATCCTAAGGATTTTTGGCATAAAATAAAAATCGATCATTTTGACCCATACAATGTATTGTTGGCTATTGCTACAAATATACCTGTGCTACTTATCAAGTCAAGTCAAGTCAAGTTTATTTGTACAGCGCTTTTCACGATACAAATCATTGCAAAGCAACTTTACAGCAAAAATTGAGCAGACACAACTTTTTCTAAAATTTTAGACATAAAAGGATATTGACTGGATACTTATGACTGGTTTTGTGGTCCAGGGTCACAAATATTAAAACTATTAAAATGTGGTTTAGAATTTACTGTGTCCATATTTATAATATTGAAACATAAGACTAAAGTTTACTGTTTTGACATAAAATATTTATATAAAACCACAGTTCATTCAAGTGTATTGTTGTATTGTTTTACATTTTATTTGTTCATATATACAATGTGTTCGTTCATTTTATAGTATCTTTAGGTCCTTTTCCCACATGTTGCTTCTTTTGTAGAGGGAGCTGATTCACATGTTCACTGTCCTGTTGAAGGAACAGACATCATAATGTAATGCACAGGCAGGTATAATAAGAGTTTCTTAGACAAGATCTAAAGACATATCATTTCATATCATTAAAGGGATAGTTCACCCAAAAATGAAAATTTGATGTTTATTGATGTTTACTTATATACATATAAGTAGATTCCTGCGGCCCATAGAAACAGTCACTAAAGGCATCTACACTGAACAAAATTATAAACGCAACACTTTTGTTTTTGCCCCCATTTTTCATGAGCTGAACTCAAAGATCTAAGACTTTTTCTATGTACACAAAAGGCCTATTTCTCTCAAATATTGTTCACAAATCTGTCTAAATCTGTGTTAGTGAGCACTTCTCCTTTGCCGAGATAATCCATCCACCTCACAGGTGTGGCATATCAAGATGCTGATTAGACAGCATGATTATTGCACAGTTGTGCCTTAGGCTGGCCACAATAAAAGGCCACTCTAAAATGTGCAGTTTTATCACACAGCACAATGCCACAGATGTTGCAAGTTTTGAGGGAGCATGCAATTGGCATGCTGACTGCAGGAATGTCCACCAGAGATGTTGCCCGTGAATTGAATGTTAATTTCTCTACCATAAGCCATCTCCAAAGGCGTTTCAGAGAATTTGGCAGTACATCCAACCGGCCTCACAACCGCAGACCATGTGTAACCACACCAGCCCAGGACCTCCACATCCAGCATCTTCAGATCGAACACAGATTTAGACAGATGTGTGAACAATATTTGAGAAAAATAGGCCTTTTGTGTACATAGAAAAAGCAGATAAACATCAAATTTTCATTTTTGGGTGAACTATCCCTTTAAAGGATTTTAAATAGAGATATTATTTTTTTAATAAATCTGAAAAGTAGAAATGAGAGACAGAAGTGACCTACAGATGATTCAGTGCTCCATGGGCATGGCCTCTTCAGGGTGTGCTGGAAACTTGGGGAGGCTCTAGGGTCTTTTCTCACACACTTTTTGTGTGGAGGTGGCTGAACCACATCTGCATTTTCCTGTTGAAAGAACAGACATCATCATGTAATGAGAGACAAAATCTAAACATAACTTCTAATGGAAAATAATACAAAGGATTTGAAATAGAGATGTTATTTATTTATTTAACGTATCTGAAAAGTAAAAAGGAAAGATAGGTGGAACTTAACAAATCTCCAGTTCTCCATGGGCACGGTCTCTTCAGAGTGGATTTGGTTGCTCCCTGTAGAGACACAGAGAGTCCTGGTGATCTCTTGAGGGACATGGCAGGCATAGGTGCTTCCTTTGAGGATGCAGTGGTCACAGGTGCTCCCTCTTGGGACAAGGCAGGCACCGGTGCTTTCTCTGGGGACCTGGCAGGGACAAGTACGTCCTCAGCAGTTGCAGTGGACACTGGTGCTTCCTCTTGGGACGAGGCAGACACTGGTGCTTTCGTTTGAGATGAGGTGGGCACAGGCCCTTTCTTTGGGGACAAGGAGAGCACAGGCACTTCCCCAGCGGATGAGGCAGGCACTGCTGCTCCTTTTGGAGTCTTAGCAGGCCTTGGTGGTGGTCCCTTTGGGGGCCTTAGGGGCAAGGGTGTCAAGATGACATCCCTTTTTAGAAAAAATCTCATATTTTCGGAGACTTTAATTTTTCCCCTAAATCGGTGTCTGGCAGGCACAGGTGCTCCATGTGGGGACCCATCTGCCACGAGTGCTTCCTCGAGGGACGAGGTGGAAACAGATTCTTCCTCTTGAGGCGAGGAGGCCACTGGTGTTTCTTTAGGCACTGGCGCTTCCACTTGGGCTGAGGCGGGCACTGGGGCTTCCTCTGGGGACCATTTGGAGTCTTGGCAGGCCTAGGTGGTGGTCCCTTTGGGGGCCTTAGTGGCAAGGGTGTCAAGATGGCATCCCTTGTTAGAGAAAGTCTCATGTTTTGGGGAATTTTCAGTTTTTCCTTCAGTTGCTGCCTGGCAGGCACAGGTGCTCCCTGCGGGGACCCATCTGCCACCAGCGCTTCCTCAGGGGACAAGATAGGCACTGGTGCTTCCTCTTGGCCCAAGGTGGGCACTAGTGCCGCTTCAGGGAATGAGCCTGGCATAGGTACTTCCTCTTGGTCTTCCTCAGGGGACCTGGCAGGCACAAGCTCTCCCTGTTGGTACTGAGGAGTAACAGGTGCTCCTTGCGGGGCCTCCACTATTCCCCACCACTGGCCTGAAGTGAGTTCCCCACACTCTTTCTTCTTAGATGATGACCACAAAAGATCTTCCACCTCCATTATTGCCCACCACCGCCCTGCGAGGAGGGCCGTGATGAGCTCATCATGCTCATCAGTGGGACTGTAGTGCATGGCTGACATGCTCAGTATGGTGAATAAGTGTCTTTGGTGGTGGTAAGACAGGTTATCCAGGAAAAAAAAAAACTCTGAAAGGCTGTTTGTGTGCAACAATTAACTGTATGTGAAACACTGTGGAAGAAAGAGAAGAGCTGTGTAAGCCCAGAAGCTGGTTGCTTTAGTGTTTTAAAATTCATATTATTCACATTATACAAAATTCATATTCAATTCATATTAATTTGATAAATTGTAATCAATTTACTTGTTAAAGCATAAATGCATTCTTGTAGCTCAAACAGGCTATATGGCGCTGACAATGCCAATTTCTTGGATTTGATTCCCAGGGAATGCATGAACTGATAAAATGTATAGGCTACCTTGAATTCGATGTGCTTTGGATAAAAATATTGTCTGACAAATGCATAACTATAAATATAATGTGCATGATGCCAATGCCTAGAGGTTAAAGGGGTCATATGATGCCCATTTTCCACAAGTTGATATGATTCTTTAGGGTCTTAATGAAAAGTCTGTAACATAGTTTGGTTAAAATTTCTCAATTGACAGCTCACTCAGAGCGGGTCTGAGGTAAGACACCAGTCCAGTCGGTGCTGAAATGCTACTGTCAATCAAACTATCGTGGGAGGGGCCTGTCTGTGTGACATCACACAGACAGGCATCTGAGATCGGCTCGATTTGAGAAAGGGGAAAACATTTAACCACATTAAAAAAGAAAACACCGGTTGGATTTTTATCATTATAGGGTGGTTGTGTACACACACTGCCAACACACATTTCAGTTCAAACAACTTGTAAAAGTGCATGTAGCATCCTATGACCCCTTTAAGTAGGTGAATGTGAAAATAGCTACTTAAAAAAAAAAAAACGTTTTACTTGTTCATATACAGTATGCGGTTGTCTAGTCTAGTCTATTTAGTTTCTTTTTAGTTTATTATTGGAATTATTATAGGCTACTTTTATTTGTAAAAAATACTAAAGTAAGACTAGAGCACAGGTAAACAGTTGAAGGATATCGGTAACGGCCTTGACTACACCGATCGGAGGGATTATTACGCGTTAATAATTATCAAGAGTATTTTAAGATATCGAAGAATATAATTTGTGTGCGTGAGCATTATAAAAATCAGAATAATTAATTAGTGATTCATGTATCAGCCTACCTGAAAATTCCTCACAGACAGCCACAAATTTGTCTAAATACAGACACTGAGACAATAGCTTAAACAGAAAATAAAATAAAAAATATATTGATTAAAAGAAACATCCCCAAACCCTAAGTGAAGAGCATACTCACAATCACTCGCCGACTCCCAACAAAATCCAAATTCGTGTGCACTCAAATGAATACTCATCGAACATTCTAAATTAATTTGTGACATAATGGCTTAGAACTGCATCTTTTAAAACTTGTATCACGATGACATATGGCCATGGAATGTGTGTCCTGGCCTGTTTTATTCGATTAAAACTGTAGAAATATACACATTTTCCCCCTTCGTGCTTGTTTATAACTAACCAGCGCTTAATCAATTAACATGGGCATGCAGGAGCAAGTAAAGCTGCCACAATCCCCAAAAAATTACTGAAGGATCATAGTATCACAGGCTACTACTAGCTTGCTTGTTATCATTAAACACAACATACTCAACGAGTCTGTCAACTGATAGGGCAATACAGCACATTTTTGATAAATAGGCTATAATTCACTATAGTTTTAGCCCCTGAGATTATTTCAAACAGTCAAAAGTGTATATCAAAACAAGCAGTAGGCTATTTATAGATGTCATAAACACAAGAAAAAAAAATTACAGGAAGACCAGTTTGTCAGAATGTAGTTGTCAGAATGACCTCCCAAAACGATGCACATTTCAGACTTTTAATGAAATGTTTAGACTTCTATAATAAAATCAGTAAATGAGAATTTGCATGCAATCGTTTCAGAACAACCTCAGATCAGGTGTTATTCAACAGCTTTGCTCTGTGGTCATTAATTAATTAATTAATTAATTATTTATGGCGTAAAAGTGTTGGAAAACATTATGCCAGTAGGTGGCGACAAGTGATCATCTTTACGCGCGAGTCATTTGAATCACTTTACCAATTCGTTAAAAAAGTATTTATTTAGGAACGAAGCAAGTGACTTTATGAACAGTCATTGAATCATTTAGGAAAACGCACTACTATTGAAGCATTGTGTGTTGTTTGGTGTTGCAACGGTTCTGCTCTGGTTTTGTGTGGTTTGTTAGAAATCATTCTAAATAATGGTTATTATTATAAAAGTTGGAAAAAGTTTTTGCTGTTTAATATTTTTCTGTTTTCTGGAAAGACAAGCATTTATTTGAAATGGAAATCATTTGCAAGATTATAATTATTATTTATTTTTTTTTTAAGTATTTTGATCAAATAAATGCAGCCTTGGTGAGCATAAGAAATGTCTTTCAAAAACATTAAACAGCTATTATTTAATTATTTTCATGCCATAATGGAGCTGTTAAAATCCATAGAAAATTAAATACACTATAACTAAGGGTCCCTAAAGATTGTTTCCCTTCTTGTTGTTATCACAGTTGCTGACAAGAATAATGCATCTAAATTGCTATCAACACAGCATGGTCTAATCACAGATCAACACATTCAAGCATTGATCTCTCTTTATAAATGTGAACTATTTCAAGTATAAAAAGTAAATAAATGCATGCAAGACAAACACCCATTTTAGAGAATAATTTATTGCCAGTAGTAAAGCAGTTAAGCTAGTGGCAGTATTTAATAAAAATCATAAAACAAGACCATAGCATTGCTCACACACACACACGCAGACCCTGAAAAAGTCACATGTCTGTGAATAATCTCGCACTATAAATATATTGGGTCCCATTTTCATGGTCAAAAAATAAAGATGTTCCAAAGTCACAATTTACAAACAACAACAACAAAAAAAAAACATAACACATCACAAGAATATGTAGATGTCCTTTCAGAAATGAACGTGTTGTGATGATCACACATTCACAACCTTGACATTTTTTATTATTCTTTTTTTAAGATTCTCTTATGCTTTTTTCATTGCTTGTGAATGAACATACAGTAAGGCTGATAATGACACACCATGAGTTGGTACACTACTTTTTCATGTCTTTCTTTTTTGGGAAAAAAAGCAAAACATATCTACAAAAACCTATTAAACCGTGAAATCAAAACTGTACATTAAAATGTACATTACAAATGAATGAGGATTTGTATTAAAAAAAATCAGTTTGCATGGTTATATCTATACAAATACAGATATCACCTTGATGATTGAAAGCTTTTCTCCCAATATCCATGACAACATATCAGTTATATTTTCTGTGTAAATTGTACATCTCAGCATGATCTTATGCATGATGATCAACATATTATTTAATGGTACAGCCAAGTCTAATGTTCTCCCCAATACTGTTAAATAATAATAATATTAATAACAGCCCACAAGAGCTAGAGAAGAGAACTCATGTTTAAGCAAGTCTTTTCAAAACCTCTCTCTCGAGTGAGATACAGATGTATACAACGTGTGCGTTTGGATGTTTGGCATTTACGTTAATAGTAAGACTACGTTTGTGTACCTTGTATGTGGTGTGGTTATGGTTTGAACACAGTCAAGTCTCCTGTAGCAGGGTTTCATTTAGGCACTTTTGATATTCTGGATCCAGTGTCAGACTTCAGTATGCTGCTGCTGCTGATGTTGAGAGTCCAGTGGCGATATGACGAGCCTCTGAAACTGCGCTCCCTCCTCCTCTCCACCGCTCTCGTAATCGCTCATCATCACTTCTGACTCCTCGCAGCAGGCGGACATGTCCGAGCAGGACGCCGTGGACGTGTAGAGCGACAGCGACATGTTATCGGCAGCAGGGGGATTGAAGTCACAGCCGTAGCCCAGCGGGAATCCTCTGCGCCGGTATCCTCCGGTGGAGGACGACGTGATGGTGCTGGTGGGGTTGGTCTGGGGTTCGGGGTCTGATGAGTAATGGTGGTGGGGAAGGAATTGGGTGAGGCTGTAGAGTTGGGGTAAGGGTGGGCGCTGGCGTACTCCGGACCCTCCAGGACTAGAGGGGGCGCTGTTTAATGCTCGTGTGGTGGGCTGCAACGTGTCGTAGCACTCTCCGTACACCGGCACGGGCGGAGGAGGGGGCAGGTCATCATGGGACGGAAAGTAGTCGGGTGGGGGAGGGAAATCGTTTTCGATGTCGTATCCGCCCGGATAGTAGTCTGTGTCCAGCAGGGCGGGGTCACTGTAAAGGGTGGGTGGGGCCTCCACTACCTCATAATGAGGAAACTCTTGGATTCCAGGAAGTTGAACGCTCGGCATCCAGTCAGATGTGTCCCAATGATAGCCTGTCAGACAAAAATAATAATAAATATCACCGTGCCACAAATACGAACAACAACAAAAAATATTATGATTAGATTAGGTTACACACTGAAAAAAAGGCTGGTGTCAATTCAACTTCAGAGAGGTCCATTTTGGTTTTGAAAATGGCATTCATAACCTATTTTACTTAATATTAACTCTTTCCCTGCCAGCGTTTTTGAAAAAAGTTGCCAGCCACCGCCAGCATTTTTGACGATTTTGACTAAAATTTCATGGCCCCTAGAATATTTTGTTGTATGAATATCTGAACATGCAATATATCAAAATAAAAACAGACCCTCTACTTTTAATACTTTTACTTTTAAACAACAAAATCTGTTTTATTCTAGCTTCAAACATTCTTCTTTATAAATATTTGAATGTAGGTAGGTTTCATAAAAAAAAAGCAACATTTTGAGCAAAAAGCTGAGAAAATCGCATTTTTATCAAATACTACATCTGGATCATATTCAGTACTCTTATCAAAGCAAAGATGCAGTAGATCGCTTCCATCAGCACTCCTAAAGCTTGCATAGTCCTTTACCACTTCCTGGATCGACATTTCACTCGATAACATTAGGCAGTTTTCATTTATATGCTGTTTATTGTTGATGATCGCATTATTTTTCATATACATATGCTTACATATGAGATCGCTCATTTCTGCATCTTCCTTATCTGTGTTTTTGATTGAGTGATTCTAAACTCATTCAGGAGGTGCGTAATAGCACCCCCTAGTGTATAATAGTGAGAACACGGAAACCCGGAAAATTCTGTGTTTGGCCAGGAAGCGTTGTCTCATGAATAACAGAAAATTCTGTGTTTGGCGGGAAAGAGTTAAAGTAGTATAAAAAACAGAAGTTGAGCAGGAAATTAGTAAAACGATGCTAGCCATCAATCCCTTCTTTTAACGCTTCTGCCATAACTTGTATTACACTAATGTTAAGTTACATCATAAAGACGTTTTTATTTAGAATAATATGCACTTGTTTCTATATTAAACAGTAACAATTGCAATTTATTCTGTGAATAGAAGTTGAATTGACTTCAAACCACTCAGTTAATACCAGCCAAGTCATTTAAAACCAACAGCATGCAACGTCAGTATCACACCAACACTATACAGATCATTCAGCACAGCACAAATATTACTGGAGTGCACACAAATATACACACCACACATGTACATTTTAAGGCTGATTTATACTTCTGCGTCGGACCTACGCCGTAGCCTTTACGCCGTAGGCTATGCGTCAGTTTTCATTTATACTTCTGCGTCGTTGTCCGCGTCAACGTGCAGTACACATGCAAAATGCTAGAGCTACGGCGTAGGTTCGACGCAGAAGTATAAATCAGCCTTAACTCTGAATATGTATATTGTTTGTGGATTTACAAAACAACCTTGACAATATGACAGTTAGTCAATGCTAGATCCATTTGTCCACATTATATTATTAGCGAGAGTGTTTTCTGGTTATTATTATGGATTTTGAGGGAATTTTTGAGAGATGACACCAAGTTAGACTGGAAACACTCTCTCACACACACAAAAACTTTTTATGACACGAAGCTGTGACAAAAATTGCACAAGCCCCATTCATTTCTAAATACCAAAAGTAGTGAGTTGATTTGAAAAGGAGAGTTAATTTGACACTATTTTTGTCACAGATTTTGTGGACATGCAGAGTTTTGTTATATTGAAGGGCCAAAATAAAACAAAAAATTGAATCGAAAGGCTTCAGGCAAATTGTACAAAATAAAAATAAATCACCTCTTGGGTTCTTGTGTTCATGAGCCGAGAAAGACTCTTTAGATAAAAGGCAAACAGAATTGCAGAGAAAAGAGAGTTAGAGAAAATGTCAAAGACTACGAGATCGAAAAACACTGTGAAAAAAAGAGTGCAGGACAAGGTGGATACAAATGTAGGAACCATGACAGTATGACACGATCTTCATGCCATTTGCTTGCACAGAAACATGGCGGGAAGGTGAAATCAGTCTTGGTAAGATTGCAATTTTCCACCTCAAATTAGCTGAACAATCATGTGCCACTGAAATCAAATGAGGCACCTGATTGGCTAATGAGGCATTTGATTGAATTTTTAAAGATGTGATTAGTCATTTTTAATTTCTTTGTCTTTGTAGATGTAATTTAGGTGAAGAAAATGGCATTTTGGAGACCTAATAATCACCAAACGCTAACGACACAGATACCAATAATCAGCATTGAAGCAGCAAAATACTACCTTCTTTCTCCACCGAGTCAACAACAGAGCTGACAAGGTGGATTACTGTCACTAGGGAGGCTTGTAAAAAGGGCAGATAAAGAGAAATCTAACATTAATTTTTCAGAAGTAAACATTACAGGAAAGAAACACTGGAAGGCAAGATTGCAAGGGAGAGAGGAAACAGACAAAAGCATTTCTCACGATGAGACATTGCATTCTGACATCTGACAAAACTGATGGATTTGAACTGATTGACTGGCACTGTCAGAACAACAGATACTAACTGGATTTATGGGATTTTGGCTTCTGCCAAGGGTTTGATCTAAGGGATGGGTTAATGGCAGAGGGATTCGGTTGTGTCGGTAAGGCACACGTCTGGGTTGAGCTCTGGTGAAGGACAGTGGGAGTGACGGCTGATGTTGTGCTCATGATTACACACATTAACAGAGTGATGAAAGGAAAGATCAGGAAAATTCTCAAAGATAAAAAGAGAACAAAGACACTCTCTGGCCCCAAACCAAAACCAGCAGATGGAGAAAAATTAAAGAAGCAGGGTTCACGCTTTAGAGGAATATACGGGTACATGGCCATAAGAAAATATGAAAAATCCATTCAATATAATGCATTAGTGTTTATCAGAGTTTCAGTGGGGGTTAGGAGTTGTTAGGTCAAGGTCGGGGGTTGAAAAGGTCAAATGAGGGTCAAGAGTCAATGGTTAGATGACTGCAGTCCCCTTCACATGACTCATGTCAGGTCAAATGACATTTGAAAAATCATCTAGCAGGTTCAGACACGATTGTTCAGCGCTGCTAAGGCATTCAATGATTGGAGAGCAACAACAGAATTTGAGATGTAACTTCTCTTAGTTTTCACACAAGTTTTCGTTTGAATTAAACTAATGCTGCTAAAAAAAAAAAAAAGGTAATGGATAAACTTGCTAGATAACCATTCTGCAGTGCTACTAACTAAAACTATAAATTGTTTTTTTTTGTAATGAAAAATTAAGCTGAACTGAACTAAAATATAGTTAGATCAAAAACCTACTGAAATAATAACTAAAACTGAAATTAAATAATGCCAAATAGGAATATGTAGATTAAATATGACAAAAGCATATAAAATTACTAAAAGATAAACTAACATTAAATGAAAATTAAAAACAAAGCTAATTCAAAATATTAATAAATACTATAAATATAAATAATACTAAAATAAAACATCCTGGCATCCTGACCCATCCCAGGTTTCAATACATTTCTCAACACAACTATCATTTGTTGCTTTGATCAGCCAATAAAAAGCTGAAACTTGTACTTGAAGTACTGTTACAAGGTGTGACCTGACCGCAAAATAGTGCATGGATATGTTATAGCTTGACAGTTTGTTCCACAGAGTTCTGTCATAAGTCATGTGAAAAGGCCTTCAGATTACAGTAATCAGGATCAACAGAAACGTTGTGTTGTGTGTGCTGGAGACCCATCATGTGTACTTTTCATACCCTGCTTTTACACTCTGAGCTGATGTCTTCAACCATCCATTGGCTTCATTAAGAGACACAAAGAAAGGAAGGGGAAAAAAAGAAGAGAAAAGATCCAAAACATGAATTTCACACAGAGAACTAATAAAGATACTATATAGCTCATTCTCAGATGTTGCCTTGAAATGATGAAAAACTTATGAGAAGTTGCTCTCGGCAATGGCAAAAGAAAAAGACGAGGGGGCTTAGAGGGAAGACAAGCTTTCTTCTTTTTATGCATTGAGAATTTCGCAGGGCCTTTAGTGATCGCTTCCTTCCACCGTGGGCGAGTGTTCACTTACGAGCAGGCCTCTATTTAAAACCTTGCTCGGTGTCTGTGGTGAGATTTGATCCAAATGGGAGCTGAAGCCCCAGTGCAGCGATAAGGAAGAGAGAGAGAAACGACATAACACATGACCCAAAAACATATCACCCTTTACACTCGGTTACATCAGTAAAATAAAGACAAACAAGGTTAGCAGATGTTCAAATAAAAACAAAAAAAAAACTAAAAGAACATGCAAGAGATTTAGATTATGTTTGGAATAGAATACTAGTGAAGTTTCTACACTATGTATGTACTGTGCAGTATGTAGAATGTTGAATGAACAGAAGTAATACCAGATACAGGTTTATTTATGAGATGATAACTAAACATCAATCAAGCTTGAGTAAGATTGTGTCAGTGTGCGGCACAGGACTGGTGGAAAAAGACAACTGTAATGTATATGTTATCCTTGTAAGAACAAGGTTTTGACAAAAACAAACATTTTCATAAAATGATAAGCTTCACATTTCAGTCAACTATTTTATATAGTTCTAGAAATAAAAATAAATATCTTTTTGAATTAGAAGAGTTTGCAGGTGCGGCTAACATAATGTTTTTTTTTATAAAAACTGTTTCTTCGCAAAAAATTTTGTTTAAATTAATACACAGCATTTGTTGTATACTGTCAGTATGTATCACAGTATAAAGTACACTAGGTGTTTCCATTCCAAACATAACATTTTTTGTCTGCTAAAGCAGAATATTTTTTCATCTTGTTTACAGAGAAACATACTGTATAAATCAGTCTGATATCTGTCACAGAAGTATTTCACATATATTCTGTAGTATAACTGGCTGGTTATGATCTAGCAGTCATCTATAAGATGAGTAAAAGCAAATGCATTCTATTCCATACATACCATTGTCGTCACATGACTCGGACTGGAAGGAGCTGAGAGAGTGGACCTCAGACATGCTGCCTCTGGAGTTGTAAGGATGACAGGCACTGTCCTCTACCGGTTTCTTACTTAGACACGGATCCAAGTCCACTACTTTAGCTGTGAGGAGAAGAAAACAGTCACACAAACTTTCCCTCACTTTCGGAGCCCATAAAATAGATTGTCTTACAAGTCACAAGCATGACATTCGGATTGCGGATGGGTTTCTGTACATACCATCGTAGTCGTATTCCCAGCTGGGCTTCTGTATGGAGTCACTGTCAGACACAGAGTTGGAGGGTGGGGGAGGAGGCAGGTTAGGTGCTACACTACAGACAGCCACCGTCTTCCTGTGCCCGTGCACTGTATCGGGGTTGAATGTGCTGAATTCTGGGTGCTCTGGTATGGCTGAGCCCTCAAACGAGTTGCGGTCCAGATTGTTGCGGGAGTCGCTTGGAATGCTGGGAGTGTAGGAGATGGGCCGTACAGGGACCTGCGGCGGGATGTCGGAGTAGATGTTCTTGTTGAGTCTGGAGTCAAAGTACGGCCGATGGAGGAAGGCATGCGAGGCTCCTGTGCCTATGCCAAGCTTGTCGTCATCGTCAGATTTGGACTTTGAGCGCCGGCAAATGCGCTTGCGAACCATGACGAAGAGTATGACGAGAAGGAAGATGCTGGCAACGAAGACGACGATTCCGATTACTTCCTCCAGGCCGATGTTCCAAGAGGTGGAGACAAATTCGTTGCGGATTTCGGAAAGGAGTTCACAATGCCGCCCACTGTAGCCCGCAGAGCAGTTACAGTTGAAGGAGCCGTACGTGTTCTGGCAGTGACCACCATTGCCACAAGGGTTCTTCAGACACTCATCTACATCACTGAGGCACCTAAACACACATACAAGCATGTACTGTAAATACACAGCTGCATATTCAGTCTACACTTTCAAAAGATTGAAGTTTTCTGAAAGACGTCTCTAATGCTTGCCAAGTCTGTGTTTATTTGATCAGAAATACAGTAAAAATGGGAATATTATGATGTATTATAACTATTTTAAATAACTGTTTTCTATTTGAATATATTTTAAAATGTAATTTAAACCTGTAATGTCAAAGCTGAATTTTTAGCAGCCATTATCCCATGAAAGTTGAGAAATCACTCTAATATGCTAATTCTAATAACATTTTTTTTGTGGAAACCATGATACTTTTTTCAGGATTCTTCAATGAATAGAAAGTTCAACAGAACAGCATTTACTTAAAAAGAAAATCTGTCACTTTTAATCAATTTAATGTATCCTTGCTGAATAGAAAATATATATTTTTTTTAATTTAAAAAGTCTCATCTAGGTATCATCTCAAGAGAAGTAGCATCTCATAAAGAAGCTTTTCATTATGCCCATTTAATATATGTTTGACTTATTCAATCAAGTCTCAGTTTTATTAGATGGGTCAAAGGATGTACCTGTCTCCTTGGAAACCCAGCTCACACTCACACACAGGACCATCCAGGCTATCAATGCACTTGCCGCTGTTCTTACACGGGTTATCTGTGCAGTATGGACCCAGCTGACACCTGGTAGAACATTACAAAGAGCCAAAATGTAATTCAGAATCTTCACTCATGCACAACTTTAGATAAACTTTAAATAGGAAGAACTGTGTTTGGATAGTTTTTAATTGCAGTAGAAATTTCTCAAAGAGAAAATTGATTCTGTCTTACTGAATTAAATCTGATTATCAATCACATTGCCTTCCAAAGCTTCTGATTAAATTTCCAATTTAATAGGAATTACTGAGAATGCCACATGGATTTCTGAAGTATTTTTCTTTAGTTTGAGTCACACCATGCATGTTAATGAAGTTTAATTTATGAAAATATTGACAGAGCTTACTTTTATTTGCCCTACACATGGAGTATACAAAATGTCATTAAAATGGAAAAAGAACTAATTTAATGAAATATCAAACTTTAAAAATAATTAGACAGAGAGGAACAAGGTCAATGTAAAATTTCAATTAAAAGTATTGGGAACAAATCAGAGATTTAACATTTAAAATAAAAAAAAAAAGAATGAAAATTAGACCCGTTTATAACAGTGTCATATAATGGAGATTATTGAATATTTCTGTATTCAGACAGTGTACAGTTATCCCAAAAATACCTGGGCACTTAATCCACTCTTAAAAATGTATGATTGTCATTGCACGAACTATCAAAATTGTTTTTTTTTTAAAACAAAGATAGCACATGGTCAGAATGATCAAAGTTATCTAAAAAGATGAAATATTAATGTTCAAAAATAATACAAAAAGTACCTGAACACCTTTTTAAAATAAGAAAAGTTTTTTGGTCAAACTTGAAGCATGTCTGTACTGTAGATAATGCAATAAATTTGCACCTACATATACTAAAAATGACCGAGACTTCACATCATTTGATTGCAGGTACAATGAAAGTATTGCTCAGTGTCAGAATAACGTCTGTGGTTACAAGTGCATGTGTTCTCACCGTTGGCCAGAGTATTGTCCTCTGCACTGGCAGTAGAAGTCTCCTCCTCGTGGGATACATGTGCCTCCATAGAGGCAGGGATTAGAGGCACAGGGGCTGATAGTGACTTCACAGTGTGTGCCCATGAATGCAGCGGTGCACTTACAGAAATACCCTACAACACACAATAGAGCAAAGCATATTATGGTGCTTTTCCACTGCGTGGTACGACTCGGCTCGGCACGGCTCAGTACGGTACGGCACGGAACGGCTCGGCTCGATTAGTCCTATATCTGACTAAACTGCAATGACTCCAATCAAAAACAAACCAAAAATGGCCACACATACCTCCGTTAGGCAGTGATGAACATGTGCCTCCATTGGTACAGGGGTTACTGGAGCAGCCCTGGAGTGGAGGAGCCAAGCTGCAACCGGGAGCCACCTCGACCAGCTCCTCCAGGACTGAGTGAACTCCTCGAACCTGAGATAGCGGCAGCTCCCTCCCATTAAACATGATCCCCTCGAGACAACCCCGCAGCCCATTTACCACAAGTCTTCCCGAGCCGGATGTTGGCCGTGCATGACCCCCGAAGTACATGCTGGTGTCCAGGTTGAGGGTGCGGAGAGTTCCCGGAGCTTTGCCAGACGCAGCGTGGACCTGATCTAGGACCAGTCTAGCATAGTTACCATCTACCGCAAGAGAGATAGTGTGCCACTGTCCGTCACTGACCTGGGTACTGTGCACAGACACCACACCAGGACCACTGCCGCAGTCAAATGTGTACTGCAGGCGGCCGTTCACAATCTGAAACACACACAGATAGTTTTGTATTTCATGCTGCCCCTATATAAGAATGGCAAACATGTGGAGTCAATTCAAATATTTAGTATCTCAAATCCACATTTAGCCAATTGACATTATATATTTATATTTCTAAAATAAAATAAAATAAAATATAAGTTCACGCAAACCATTAAGTTGAATGTTGTATGCATAAATATATAAAGGAGGGTCTCTCCAAACCTATTAAGTCACCTAAACAGACAACCAAGGTCATTTAAAGCACATGCATTGTTTTGGGCATGCTATTTTTTGCACATTTTGGGCATCACAGGCATATTCTGTGTAAGCACCATTTTTGGACAGAAAACAAACTTATGACGGCCAAAAATGTGTGCCTATAAAAATTAATGTCTAAGTAGGTAGTTTATCAGTTATTTTTAAACAGCCAAAAAGATGACTCTGTGAAGTACTTCAGCTGTGATATTAAAGTATTCTGGCAACAGCCGATTGATTAAACAAATGAAATGAAGAATGATGCTTCAGGGATAAGCAGAAACAGATTATTATAATGTAAGAGCAGGGAAATGACACTGCTTGCATTTCAGTCCCAGACTCCTTTGCTCTTTCTGTCAGCTGTGTGGTTTTCCCTCACCAAAGCGGAATGCGTGAGAAAGAGCTCCCCTCTCTTCTCCCAGCTCCAGAATAACTCGCATTCTGTTTTCTCTTCTTTTTTTGGAAGGATAGAGGGGGTTAAGAATACACACTCACCTCCAGTATGCTGTAGTCTGTGCCTTTGGCATACATGACAGTAGCGTGGGTGGAAAATGTTCTCAGTCTGAGGGACAGCTTCATTTCTTCCTTATTCTCGTTCTCCATCAGCCTGTACCGCGCATATCCATTTCCGCTGAATGTCAATGACTGACGCTCTAAAACACAGAGCAAACCAAAACAAATTAGTGATGTTATCATAATGTCCACACCCAACACTACATTTCTAATGCAGCAAAACTAAACGTCCATTTCATGAACAAAACATTAGTGCTTGTAATGCTGTATGCAATTATGCAATGACATTATCAGTTCAATTTTAAACAGCAAACATGCAAATAATAAAATCTAATTCAAAATATTAAACACTTTAACAGTATTTTAATTGCTCCCTTCCTGCGTTTAAGTGCGAACTGTAGTTTCGATTTGAGGAATTGCCCTGCTATAGACTATTGGCTGTGCTAATTAGAAGGCGGCCACAGCTGTTTTCACTTTAGTGTCTTAGACTGATGCGGAAGCATCAGCGGAAGCGTTCAGGCCTCCTTGTGTGAAGACCAACGAGTGTAAAGACCTGCGACTTTACCTGCGCGACTTCACCGAGCAACGAAATCGCCAAGGCACTTAAGTATATTTTTGCTCTTCCCTGTACACACTCTCCTTTTCTGTCCTCTCTTTTCCACCTCTATCATGTGTTTCCAAACCATTCCGGTTGTCTCTCGACAACGCTCTAAGGTCACACGCAGACGGCAACGCAGTGTAGCGTCTGCTAAATGACTAAATGTAAATGTATATAAATGATACCAAAATAACACTGATCTCCATGCATGGCTGGGTCCCTTCATTTAATATACATATATTGTCTTGTACTATAAATACAGCAGGCCCAGTTTAACTCAAGTAATATGCATACTTTGAGCAAGTAGCACTAATAAAAGAATGGGACTTCAATACAGTGCTTTAATAGAGAGTGTGAGTTGCACTAATATGTGTGTTCATACCTGAGCACTCTTCCTGTTTTCCCTCAGGACAGATGCATTTGAATTTGGTCTGTGTGGGGTCTTCTACACACTCCAGGCCATCAGGACAGGGGCTTCCCTCACAGAGTTTACTCAGGACAGTACACTCAGCTCCTATAATCACACATAAAAGGGTTATCATCACTCTAGACTGGAAGTGAAATACATCTTTGAAATATTTGGTGTCTGTATATCCGTGTTACCTTCACAGAGACATTCGGAAGTGCGCATGTGACGTGGCGTAACAAAACTAATCCTAGCCGTGCTGTAGGCCGACACTGCTCCCGTCTCCAAGGAAACGGTTTCTTGGCAGTAACTAAGAGGACAGTCCAAACCAGCACAGAGTTTCTTCACAACTCGTACAATACGGACTCCAGTCATCTCTTCGATTACCCCAACTGAGGCGTTCAGCTTCCTGTACACCACCTCCTGGGGCTGGAATGGACTTCCTGACCTTTCTAGAGCTAGAAGTACTTCTAGGTCACCGGAGGCATCGGCAGCAGGTTGCAAGCTGACTAACTGCACGTCTCCGCGTCTGACACCGGCGATGTTCCGTAAAGCTCGCAAAAAGTTCCGCCAATAATCTCCGATAAACTCCTCCGGTGCTATTGCAGAGAATCGCACGGCGATGGAGTTATCGAGAGCTTGTGCTGTTGCCTGCCGAACGTGAATATTGACTCGGGCAGCTGCAGTAAAACGGCCATCTGTCACTGTAATGTTAAGGACGTATTGACCAGCATCCAGATTCCCACGGGCTACAAGTTTCCCATCAGCAGGAGAGACAGAGAAGAGGCCAGAGTTTTCGGAGGCGGAGGAACTATCGGGTGTGAGGCTGTAGGTTAGAGTGTCGTAAACATCCTGATCAGTGGCGTGGATTTTACCCAGCACCCCACCTGAATATTCGTCTGTTGCTGTGGTGATAAAGATGTCCAGGGGAAGAATGACAGGAGGGTAGATGCTCTCCTCGATCAAACGTACACTCACAAATGCTGTGGAGACCAATGGTGGCCGACCGCTGTCTATTACCTAGAGCAAAAGAGCCAAGAGATTTAGGATTCAGAATTGCAGCAATTAGAAATCATTAGTTTTATAATTAGGTGTCAAGATTTAAAGGAGACTTATTATGTCCCTTTTTACAAATAAGTCTCATGTGTCCCCAGAATGTGTCTGTGAAGTTTCAAAATACCCCAAGATCATTTATTATATAATTTTGAAAATGCCTATTTTGAGTGGAAGCAAAAACACCCTGCCTTCGTGCATGTCTCTTTAAATGCAAATGAGCTGCTTCTCCCCGCCCCCTTTTCCAGAATAGGGCTGTGCTTTTACAGCTAGTACCTCAGATACTCTGCTAAAAAAACGTTTGATTTTGATTATCATGTCTATCACGTTGAAATCATGCGTTTTAAACCATATTAGTTTAAACTTCTGATATATGGTTTTCTGAGCGCACACATCCGAAGCACACTAACAAAAAGCAGCTGTTACACGGCATGTGATCACTAAACTAAGTTCTCTTTCATGTCTTATTGCACATAAAGGGATAGTTCACCCAAAAATGAATATTCTGTCATTAATTACCCTCATGTCGTTTCAAACCCGTAAGACCTTCGTTCATCTTCGGAACACAAATTAAGATATTTTTGATGGAATCTGAGAGCTGTCTGACCCTCCATAGACAGCAATACAACTGAAATGTTCCCAAGTCCAGAGACGTAGCAAGGAGATCGGTAAAATAATTCATGTGACATCAGGGGTTCAACCGTAATTTTACGAAGCTACGAGAATACTTTTTGTGCGCAAAAGAAAAAAAAACAAAACGACTTTATTCAACAATTCGTCTCCTCCGCGTCACACTGTAGCGCCATTTTGGAGAGTATCAGCTGGACTAAACAACGTATGCTGTTCTGTGTCAGCTGCGTCAGCTGTTAAATAAATAAATAAATCCACTGCTCTCTTGTCTCTTTTGAGGCTGGGATTTTAAATAATGTTCTGTGCTCGCCTGTGCAGCCAAAGACAGAACAGTTAGTATGATTTGCTTGAACTTTTGCCATGGCGTTAGAACTGCTACACCACTGGTAGAAACATGGATGGAAACGTGAAGATTAAGGGGCGGTAATATTATAATAAGATCCCCTTTCTATGTCACGGGGGAGCGTGTTCGGTTGGGTTGGGTGTCAGATCACTAACACTAATTTGTGGTAATAATGATGTTTGCTTTAGCAAGCACTGGTAAGTATTTACAGAAGAACCCATAAAGGAGTCAGTTTCAAAACAGATTTGATTTCATACCTCCTATGATATATCTCACTTTACAGCACAGAACAGCAAGCACCATATATGTTGTTAACTAAAACAATAGATTATTAGTCTTCTAACATATGGTGCCAAATTATCAAGTCAGCTGTTTGAAGTATAATTGAGTATTAAGGGCAGAACGACTTTGGCACTTATTTTCAGCCACTCCATGCAAAATGTGCAGTCACAGTCAGTAGAGGGAGCACTCGAGCCTGGATTTACTCTTGAAACAATGGACAGCTGCACAAGTTTGAGCCTGGCTCATGTTATTTACTTCTGTTCCATCCTCCTGTACCTATCACTTTGCCTCCCATTTCACAATCCCTATTAATTTCACAATTTTACAAAACGGGTGCAATTTGTAGCCCTAATAAAACATTAATGAAAAAGTAAAAAAATTGATGATATATATATACATATACATTTGTTGACATTGTATTAATTCAAAGACTAGAGGTTGCGTCTTATGTAGTACTTCAACCCCGTTACCATAATAAAATGTTACATAAATCAAAGATATACATAACAGCATTTGTCCTTTGAAAAAGTCAAATGCAATTTATTAAGACTTAAAGACATCTTTTGTTTAAAATCTTACAAAAACTACTTTTAATTTACTATCAAAATTGAAAAGTGGCCCATTGCATAGAATGACCTCCTACTGAACAAAGGAAACAGAACACCTAAAAGAAGAGGAGACTGGGAATAAGACAGCTGTAATGATTTTCTTACAGGTCCTCTCCTCTGCTCAAGTTTTCATGGCTGCTCCTTCATCATACTCTATTGACCATGCCTGGCCTGTGTGGGGAGTACTGAACAAGCACTGCTTCACCTCAGCTCTACTATTCATCTATCTCAGACCTCCAGTGATAACTGAACAAGACCCCTACAGCTTTAGTGAGAGTTGGAGAATCAGAGGGAGACTGAGGTCTCACCTGGGCCTGCAGGAGGTAGAACTCTTGGGTCTGGCGGCTCAGAGTTGCCGCAGAGACCAGCACGCCCTGAGAAGTGATTTGGAAGGCATCGCCCTCGTTCCAACTGATGATAGAAAATGTGAAAGGAGGTCCATTGTGGGAGGCATCACGGTCAGACACGGTCATCTGGAGGACACTGGTACCGACTGGCTGGTTCTCCTATACAACATATGCAGAACGTGTTAAAGGTTTTATAATTTAGACCTACAACATTCACACTTTTTTTTTTTAACATCTTAAGGCGAATTTGGCATGTAACAATTTTTACAGCTCACATTGAGAAGCTATGATTATATTTAATATGAGCCAGCAAGCACAGACATATCTGGTGACTAATAATGATTTTTCCTTAGAGCAATGTTTCAAAAGGCAAATGGGAACATTATTCGAAATGCATTTAACTTCCATAATGATGAATTTCAGCGCGAAACACAATAATCTGTGGGAAATAATGTAGGGAGTCATTATTTCCTTTTTTATAGGACATATATTATTATCTACTATCTACTGATATTTGTTTGCATCATAAAAAGTAGACTAGAATATTATTGCTTACTGTTTTTGCTCAAGATATTTAATTAGTAAGTTAATGTACATTTTTATAATTTTTATTAATATACATTATTTTTTTTAACTTATTTCAGTGATTTTATTAAAAAGATTTTTAATTAGCTTTTATTTATTAGATCTTCAGTTTTCATTTTCATTTTAGTTTAAGTTTTGGTAATTTCACATGCTTTTATTTATTTTTTTATATATAATTTTTTTACAGTATTTCAACAAACTAAAAAGCTAAAGATTTGAAAGCTTAGGTGTTTCACTTTATTTATTTTTTGAATGAAAAACAATTTTAAGTTTTAGTGTATTTTAACTAACAATAACAAGACTGCACTGTTTTTTTCATTGTCTAATGTCAGGACACATGTCAATATTAAGAATTGTTACTTTTTGCAGCTGTTTTTGAATACAAAAACATTTTCTATGTGAACACCCCAATGCATCTGTGTCTAGTGACCCTAAACCAGAATAACAGTGAATCCCTTAGAACAAGCAGGCATTGGAGAGAGATTGTTGACAGTGAAATCACTGTATCGTCTCCTCTGAGGAATCACACCTGTATAATGATGCTGTAGTTTGCCTGAGAGAAGAGAGGTGGGTTATCGTTTATGTCCGAGACATCTATGTTGACTGTAGCGCTGCTGGAACGAGCCGGGCTTCCGTTGTCAGAGGCCAACACAGTCAGAGTGTAACCTGAAGTCTAAAAAACAAACAAAACAAAATGTCATCATTAGGTTTCAGGAACAGACTGCCAATGTACCTGAGACACCTGAGTGTTCTGTACCTTCTCTCTGTCGAGCTGGCGGGCCACCTTGACCTCTCCTCTGATGGGGTCGATGGTGAAAGGACTGCCTTGATTGCCATCAATGATGGAGTATCGCACCTGATTACTGGATGGACCATCTGCATCATCAGCCATGACCTTCACACACAGAGAAACACACACCTGGTTAAGATAAAGATTACCACAGACTCAGGTATGCAACACCCCCGCCTTTCGTCCTTCTTGCCTCGCGAGTCAGTAACTATTGGCTGAGACTCTCAAGGGAAATCAGACGGCATGCAAGTGAAAAAGAGCTGGGTATCAAAGCCTCACTTTCACACTGACAATTTATATTCATCATGATAAGGCATGAACATCTCTAATAAATGACCAGAGTGAGAGCGAGATTAAAGATTGGTGTGGGTCGCCGAGCTTTAGTTTGACATTGGGCTGTGTTTGTTTAGTGTGCGTGTTCTTTGCTCTGTGTTGATTTTAGGAGATGATGTAACAGAGACCTGAGTAGGGCACAATAAAATCAGAAGTGCTTCAGAAAGAGAAGCCGATGACTCACAGTGAGCACGGTCTTTCCCAGTTCTGCGTCTTCGCTGATCACAGCAGAGTAAATATCTTGGTTGAAGATGGGGTTGTTGTCGTTTACATCAGTCAGGTTAATGTTCACTGTGGCCATGTCGCTGAGCGGTGGCGTTCCTCCATCTGTAGCCTCCACTGTTAGATAAAACTCATGTGCCGTTTCATAGTCCAAAGGCTCGATCACGAAGACACCGCCTGGGAAGAAAAGGACAATGAGATGTCAAGGTACATGAAAATATCGAAATAATAAAGTATTTATTTTCCATATAATTAAATAAATTAATAAAGTAAATAAATGAATAAATAACTAAATGAATGAAAAAACAAACAAACAAAAACTGTTTCTAATATGCAATAGAAAACAACTGGAATAAAGAAGATAAGGAATGTGGCAGAAGAAGAAACTTTGTGCATCCTTTATATTTGGGTGACGTGCTCCACGTTCTTTCGGTTGTATGAGTATTTGGGAGCCTCATAGATGCTACATAGTCTACAATTATAGGTTCCCTATTTTCTCTATTTGAATGCTTGATAATAATAATAATTTATTTTGTATAGTGCCTTTAAAGAAGTTTATTAAAGTGTTTTACATAAAAAAGACAAAAAATAATAATAAACAATACATATGACAATCTAATAAGCAGACTTAAATATTTAACTTTTTTTTTTTAATTTTTAAGATTTATATTTGGCTTTTCCGTCTTTGTTATGATAGGACAGATCAGAGCTGACAGGAAGTAAATTGGTAGGGCGGGGGGGGGTCCTTTTTCAGGAAAGGTCCTCAAGTCTGGATTCAAACCCGGGACGCCCATAGCGCGCTGCCCACAAGCCTATTGGCACTGACAAATATTCAATATTTTTCGAAACATATTCAAATATGATTTAAAAATTCCATGTGAACATACTTCACAATTTCATCTGAAAGTAGGTTCCACATCTTAGGTGCATATGTAGAAAAAGCCCTATCACCTATGGAAGGTGGAAACGTGTTTGATGGACAACCGAAAGAACATGCTGAGAAGAGTGAAGATTACTGTTTGGGGTATACACTGATATAAGATGAGACAAATATTCTGGAGCCAGGCCATAAAGTGCCTTATATGTAAGCATAAGAACTTTAAAGTCGACACAAAATTTAACTGAGAGCCAGTGCTGCAGAGATCTCAACAGGTTCATCAAAGCTGTTGTGTTTACCTGTATGGGGGTCGACGCGGAACGCTCCTCTCTCGTTTCCGTTGATAATGGAGTATGTAATCTCAGCACCTGCTTCTGTGTCTCGGCTGGCTGCGTGTACCCGCAACACCTGGGTGCCCACCAGAATGTCTTCTGCGATGGTGGCAGTGTACTCGCGCCGCTCAAACACTGGAGGGTTGTCGTTGATGTCCAAGATGGAAACACTGACAGTGGTGAGGGAGGAGAGACGGCGCGGGCTCCCACGGTCGGTGACGCGAGCACGGAGGGTGTAGAGTGACTGAAGCTCACGGTCCAGAGGACGATCCAGAAGCACGACGCCTGTCTCCTCATCGATGTAGAACACACCACCAGCAGAGTCCAGCAGTGAATAGAGGACCTCTGCGTTAGAACCTAAACACACACACAAAGCACAATGAGATTAATATAGACATTTAACCCCAAACTTCTGAACAATTACACAGTAACACTTGCTCTATCAGCAATATTTGTCAATTATTCCTTCATTTAATGCACAAATGAAAATCGCAAATTTGACCCTCTATTGCTGTTGTCGTATTTGTTACTAAGAAAGGACAAACAATTCATAAAGATTGCCAACAAATCAATACATTTTGAAGATTAAGAAGCTCTCAAATCAATGGCAAAGCCTCCAGCAGTTATAATCATTTGCAAGAACCTATAGTGTGTCTGTGTCTTTGTCTCATTTGCTTAACTATAATGACTTATAAATTCATCCTACAAAAGATTCAGTTGTAAAACCTCTGGTCCTGAGCTGCATATTAAGAAGTGAATGAGTGCCACTTATTATATTGGAGAAAGCACACACACAAACAAACAAGACGAAGATAGAGTACACTAATCCCTCTAATGCATTTTTGAGTAAGCCTCATTTGTGGCTTGCTAGTACAATCCTATCTATCAAGACACACTCTCTCATTATAGCCAGTTAACACAATCTCTTGTGTTCTACAAAGTTTCAGTCAGACCAAATTACTGCAATGCAGCTGCTTTATGACAGTTCAGTATGCATGTAAGTCTATTGATCACTTGACAAACACCTTCTTATGATAATTTCAAGTCTATAATGCAGCTAACTAGTTGCAGGCTAGTCTCATAGACCTCCACTATAAGTGCAGGTAAAAGCATGTCATAGGAGCGGTCAATAGTTTAATTAGTATTTTACTACTTTATGGGCTTTCAAAAAGTAACCGGTGATCTGAAGGTTGTGTGAGGTAAGAATAAGAGATTGGTTGTGTTTAGGCTAGACTTAAAGTAAGTGAAATAGGAATGTACACAGAGCACAAAATGTGTCTGTTTGAGGATATGGAGTGCAGAACAAAGGATGATAAGAGAGGAATCCATGCAAATGAAAATCAGAGAAAATCAGAGTGGAAAGTACTAACACAGCAGATGAACACTGACAGGCCATACTGTTGCAAAATTGGAGAATATTTAGGGAAACACACTTATATACAAACACAATTTCTATTTTGATATATTTTTAAATAAATATATCATTGATCTGGATATTGAAGATCTCACCTGTGTCCAGGTCTGAGGCATACAGTCGAGCCACAGGTGTGTTTATCTCTGTGTTTTCGAACACAGTGAAGGTATAGGGGTCAGAGGTGAACTGTGGAGCGTTGTCATTGACATCTTCGACTGTGATTTCAACTTCTGCTTCACAAAAGCGTCCACCTCCATCCAGAGCACGCACCTTCATCTTGTGCGCCTCCTCTTCTTCACGGTCCAGAGGGAGCAGTGTTTTTAATTCACCTGATAAAACAAAAACACACTTTACACTGTGTCCTAACAAGAATGTCACAAGAGATAACAGCTATTCCATGTAAATAATGAGTTTTTGTTCTAACCAGCTGTGACCACGGTGTCATGCTGAGTTGCCCTGCCCATTGTGAAATGTCACTGGTATAAAATTGGTCATAACTATGTCAGACTGTTTTGCATTTAAAGGTAAAATCTTTTAAACTTTTGGTCACACAACACAATGTCACCTTCACAAAACTTTGGGTTTTTTGTGTCCTTGCAACAATTTTCATCAAACAATGTTGTTCAAAACCCATAAGACTTTCGTTCATCTTTGAAATGCAAATTAAGATATTTTTAATGAAACCCAAGAGATTTCTGATTTTATTTAGGATTTACCATAATTAATGTGAACTATGTATGTGCATTGATCGATGTTTTTATTTAAATAAAATCCTTAATTAAATCGTTCATCACAATGTTTACAATGACTTTAATGGACTTTTTGAAGCATCAAAGTTTTGGTTGCATGGACTTTAAATAGAGGGACAGAAATCTCTCACGTTCTATTTAGAAATATATGTAAAAAAACTGGCTTGGAAAAATTTGCAGAATTTTCATTTTCAGGTGAACTAACCCATTAATTAATTTGTAATTTCTGTAAATTTATGTAAACTCTAGTTCAAAGGATCCCTGATGCTTCTTCCGCGCACACACAAACAGTTTATTGCTCTCTCATTCTTCATGTCTGCAAAGCTTCTTTATGTATATTTATTATAGTTGTCGCTTTCTAAAAACCCCAAAATTCACTCCCCATCAATCACTTTGAACATCAGCTGGCACTGCACTAATGAACAAGACCCAATCCAATTCCACTTTAAACTATCTAATCTGTCAAGTCAAGTTAAGAGGACACTCTAAAAACGCCCTCAAAAGAAAAGCAGTGAGAGAAGGAGAAAGTCATCTCTTTTATGAGTAAATGATCTGACCTAATTTCAGCAAGCATAAGCTACGTTCCATTGGAGCGGTCACTGATTTAAAACTGCCCTTTTGTGTGCCAGCTGTTTGGTGTTGACCTTTTAGCTGGAGTGCATCTCAAGGAGGAATGAATTCAGGGTGTCCAAAAGTTCCCCCTCGAGGGAAGCTAAAACCATCCTTGTTCTGAGCGGCTTTAAGAAATAGAAAAGATTAAAGAGGAGAGGGATGGTGAGAAATGAGAGAAATAGTAAGGGAGAATAAAGTGCAGTCGGCATGTGGGCTGCTCAGAGAGTGAGCTGAGAAAAGAAGCAAAGGGAAAGTCACCCTCGGAAAAGCAGCCGCCAGCTCTCAGGGGTCTGGTTGGCTCGCTCGAGAGCACACTTGGCATTGCTAACTTGCAATAATGCAACTCTTCTTTTCCATGACGGAACGAATGGGAAAAAAAGTGAAGCGAAGAAATTCTCTGTGCACACTAAACCCACACAGAACAACAGTAGCGCTCATTCAGTTTGCGAGCCAGCATTCCCTGCCTTCACACTTGGTGTTATCAAAGAGCCAGTGAGTAGCGTCTTTACAATAGCTTTTGTGTTATAGTAGTGTGACACTATCATAAACCCACCGTTGATTTCTGCTCTCTTTCCGGCTGGAACTGATGTTTAATTCACACAGTTGAGAGACAACTGATCTGAGTTAATAGCTTAAGTGAGGCAACACTTGAAATGCTTTATTAAAATATTTTGTGTGAATAAAACAGGCAAGTAAAAAAATGAGAAGAACAATACTGGGAACAGAATTCCACGGTATTCACTGTAAAACAGTAATAAAAGCCCAAGGGTGTACACCCTTCCCTGGAATTATACAAGTAATTAAATTAGAAATCATGGTTTTAAATGGGATGTGTGTTTGACTGCAGGCAAAAGTAAATGATGTTGAGAATGTTTTGTGTGTATGAAGTAGGGCCGTGCGATTAATCGAAATCGTCCTAAAATCGCGATTTGAGCATGCGATTTCTAAATCGCTTTACAGCATGATTTTCCGCGCCCCTGACCTCCCGCAGTATGCTATTCGAACCAATCAGAATGCAGCACGCCTAAATGGAGCACGAGAACAGAACAGACCGGAGCGGGCATACAAACGTAACGCCAGGTTCACACACTCCGTCTGTGGTGCGTATTTTTTCCGCGCCCATGTTAACGGATCAGAGCATTCACACTGCATGCGATTGCGGTCTGGCAGTGCGCTCCAGGAGCGGTGCATCTGCAGCAGTCATGCTGCGATCGTTTCCGCGCGGAGTCTATTTCTGCTGTGCTGCATGCACAGCGCATTATTCGCAGTAAAAATTAACATGGATTGACACGGAAATTTAGTAATTACACCATAAATGCATATAATTAAAGTCTACTGTTTCACAGTCAACACATGGCTTTTTGGCTAGATTTAAAAGACTTTTTAAGGACCCGCGGACACCCTGTATTGAGACAATGGTCTTAGCCTGTTCGGATTTTTGGGGTCTGTAAAAATTTTAATGTTTTAGAAAGAATGCTCATCAAGGTTGCATTTGTTTAATCAAAAGTTTAGTAAAAAACAGCAATATTAATGTGAATAAAGCAAAATATCATTAAAACATTAAAATAATGATTTTCTATTTTAATACATTTTAAAATGTATCAAATGTAATGGTAAAGCCGAATTTTTCAGTAGCCATTACTGAGAAAAATGTCTTATTATCAGTGTAGACACTTTCAATATTTTGTGGAAACAGTGATACATTTTCTTTCAGGATTCTTTAATGAATGTAAAATTCAAAAGAAGAGGATTTATTTGAAACAGAAATCAGTTGAAACATTATAAATGTTGTTACTGTCACTTTTCATCAATTGAATGCTTTCATGCTGAACAGCATAAATTAATCTTACTGACTGCAAACAGTCCAACATTAGTGTGTGTGTGTATATTAGTGCTGTCAAATGATTAATCGCGATTAATCGCATCCAAAATAAACGTTTTTGTTTACATAATATATGTGGGGGTACTGTGTATATTTATTATGTATATATAAATGCACACACATGCATGTATATATTTAAGAAAAATAAGTTATGTTTATATTTTAAATATATTTATATATAATATAAATTATATTAATATAAATATATACATGTAAATATTTTCGAAATATATATTGTATGTGTGTGTACTTATATATACATAATAAATATACTGTCAGGATCATGGACCTGTTTTGTTATGTTTTGCCCCTGTTTCTGTTCCTGTGTTCCCTTATTTGGTCATGTTCCTGTCCTCGTTTAGTTAATTAGTCATTCTGTGCACCTGTGTTTGGTAATTGTCCTGTGTTTATAAGTTCTTGTCTGTGCATATCTCTT